ATCCTCAAAGCTCATTGTTATTATCGAAAGTTCCAGAAAGGGATCGATCAAACCAAAAGAGCATCGTGGATTATTTCCTATGGCTGGACACATGTGCGTGACGTCTGTGTAGTGTGACGGCTCATTATTATTAATAATAAGTAATAATTAAATTCAATATCGAGACATTTAAAAATATCATAGATATAATATTTTCGACAATTAAAATGCGTCAATAAGCATAAAGTTTAAATATATTCATGTCGAATATTAAGTATTATAGTATAGTAAAGGTTTAATATTGTTTTTAAAAACCTTTAAATTAATTTAAAACTCTGCTTAAAATATTCAAAATGTTTTAGATAATAGAAGTACAAGACGATTATATTGCAATAATAAAGATAAATAACATTTGTAATAAAATTGAAAAATGGATCAAAATTTTCTAAGTTAATGAGTGTTTTTGTATTACTGGAGGGTGTTCATGTAATGATTATATTATATGAGGGAGTTGCCGGAGACACATACCCATGGGTGTACTTATATATGGGGTCGTCGGGTGACCGACTGCAAATAGTCCCATATATGTCCCACTACTTTCAAAATAATTTTTTTATAGGATAAGGGTGACAAACGAGCACACAGTCAACCTGATGGTAAGTGGTTGCTGTCGCCTATAGACATCTACATCTATCCTCGATTACGAATCAAAATGCAGATGCGTTGTCATCCGTGAGGACTAAGATGGAATGCCTCGTTTCCAGTAAAAAGGGTCTCCGGTTCTCTACACTCACCATACGAAACACAGCAGCGTTAAGCTGCCATTTTACGCTGGTATTCTGTGAGAGCGTGGTTCTACCCCGGTCGAGCCGACCCATTCGTGCTACAACTACACTACTAATATAGCTGCAGCATGGCTCTATCACGTATAAACGTGGTACATTACAAAAATGTGTGTGGAGCCGTGCGCCTCCCCCACATTTTTTTTAAATGTTGGAGAGCGAAGCCCTCGTATAGTATTTGATAATAAATATTGTGAGCCTTTTCTGAGCGGAGGGATTAATTAGTAATAAAGAATTGACTGATGTGAACCTGATACAAGTGGAATAGGGACGATTTAATGTTCTTAACCTAATTGAGCTCTGTCTTCCTGAACGGTGTATTTTAGCTTATAAGGCACTACCACTACCACTAGCACTAGTTCTTTTAGGTGTCTCTTGGAAGAATGAATATTCTTCCAAGAGACACCTAAAAGAACTAAGTTACTATACAAACACGACTTAAATAAGGGTCCTAATTAAGACGATCACGCCATAAATTTATTAAACGTCCTATATTTAAACCTTTAGAAAGATCAATAAAAGGATATTATACTGGTCACGTAAATTATTTTACCCACACCCCTCTTTTATATATATTTATATATAAACGAGGGGTGTGGGAGCGTTACAGTAGCATTGGATTTGAGTTGGGTAAAATATTCGAAACAGACGTGAATTTTTCCAATTCATAGACACAGTGATATCGATGAAAACAAGGGAAAAAGTAAAAAAATTTTTTAAAAAATAGTCATTGTTTTAATATGAATTTTATTAAAATTTGGAATTTTCAGTCGAATGCAACATATCGAACTTTAAACTAGCCAATATTAAGAACAGAAATTTTAATAAAAAATCATGTGATTAGAAAAATAGGTGGTCTTCTTGAATAAAAGATGTCCGTCATCTTTGATGTATTGATCATCATGATTGTATAATTAAAATCATTTTTAAACTTATGACAAATCACTTAATCCTTTCGTCTTAAAAAAATTGATGTTCAATATCAATCTAAATAATTCCTCCTTAATACTCAATATTTTCATTTTACGATCATACCCAACTATATTACCATTCTTTCAGACATATTATAAAAATTATCTTTAGTAGAATACAGCTGATATATAAACTGTAAGTGTAAAACAGGAGATAACAAATCAAAAAAAGAACTTCGATTGTCAACCCATCTACCAAGCAGGGCAACTATGGCAAAATCCTCCCTATACGGCAATCTATGGGGTTATAATATGTAATGGATAAATGGAGGGTTGTCATTTAAATGTTTATCATAAAGTTGTTACAAATAAGCTCGCAGTTAACCTATGTACTCACTCACTATAGTCCGTAAATACAACTGCAGTGTAATGTGTTAAAATTTGGCCAAACAACAACAAAAAGTTTTAAGGAATAAAATCGTTTCATGGGATTTTAATGTTTTTATATGGTGCAAGCTATAAGAACATCTACTTCGTGTAAAAAATAAGATTTTATCTCAACTCTATTTCTTCTAGAAATATTAATTTGCATCAACGCCATCCATTCATTGTGAATTAGTTAAAAGAGAAAATTGTTATCCCTTACACTTTTCTATACATCGCTGATTTATTTTCTTGTTATAATCAGCTAAACGTAACGGAAAACATAGATACGAGTGCAGTAGCATCTTTTGCACTCAACTTGGTCCCTGAAGTTTCTTAAACTTACCAACCATATCTTTATCATTTCAAGTTTGATAACAGCCGATACTAAAAAAATTATATGAACTCACAAATTTAGCAAAAAATTAGTACCTGTTTTTTTTAAATCCAATCGATCACAGTTAGTAATTGGTCGCGTCTATTTGGCTTCCGCGGCGGAAACCGCAATGCTGTCCGTGAAACAGAGTCGGCGACGCGACGCGGGGTCGGTGCTTGAGAATCCGTCATCATTAGACCGTGACCGTCGAACTCTAGCCTATTTACAATCTATATTTTTGATGTACACATTCTTTTTGAGAGAAAGATCAATAAAAGGAAATTTCTCAATCTAGTACCAAAAATAAAGCACAAATAAAAATACATCTATGTTTACTTTCTTTGTTTAAAATAAATTACCAACCGGATTTTCAATCTAAAGGCTGACCAGCATACAATTGTCCGTAGGACAAATAATAATCTTTCTTTATTTACTCATACATCCATTAAAATCCGTATATTAAAGCACAAACCCACCGTGAAATTTCGTCTTTGAAGATGGTCATAGCCTGCCGAGTATATTTATATTTAGGATCGTCCCAACAATTACATCAGAATTAAGAGACCATAAATCTATGCCCAACATTACCGACTCTTATTTAAATTATTTGAGAAGTAATTAATAATTCGCAAAGCTATTGAATTTTAATAAACACCCTGACTTCAATAGAGAAGATGGTTGAGTGCTATCTTCGGTTTAGGATCCTGTTATTAATAACATGTTGTGAAAAGGCATTATAACAGCTAAAAGATACTGTAAAATTTATAAATATATATCAATATTCATGAGGATATCTATTGCAGTAAAGGCTTGACGCTAGAAGTAGATTTACGATTTTACCCTTAATATATAGGTTTTTTAGACTTCTACTTCTTCTTCTTCTTAAGGACTTTTCCTTGACTATGGCCGTCGCACACTGCAACTAACTTAATGTAAGACATTGTAAGCTTTATATTGGTCACGAAAATATTACTATTTTTTTTTTATTTGAAACACCAACAGCTTTTATACATTGTACATACTGCAAAAATTAAAATGACAGCTATTAAAAATATTAAACTTATAATAAAAAAACGAAATATCAAGTTATCATAAAGTCCTACTCCGCGGTATAGTGCTAAGAATGCTGGCTGCGTTCGCGCGCTTAATGACTAGCCTTTGAGAGAGAAAAGAACCAGTCCTCCTATCACCCAGCGGCGACGAGTGGAGAACAAACTTATGGTCTCTACAGCAAACGCCACAAATATGTTGTCATCTCTCGAGGACTCATACTCGTCACTTAATCGATTCAGCCGCCCCGGCTCTAAACGAGGTACCTCTGAAATGAGAGGTCGCCAAAGTGTCTACGCATGTAGCATTCCTCACTAGGGCTTTGCCTCTCTCTCAAGATACATAAGTCATACCGTCGGGTCTTCTACTATCGTCTTTGAATATTCTACAAGACTCTTAAACCGAGGTAACATTTATAGAGACAAAAGCTCTTCGGATAATATGATTCAGAGAACCACGATAGGACAGCCTACTAGCACATTTCTTACTTGAAAGTCCGTGAAAAGTTAAAAGGTATTCGATGATATAATAAGTTGCAAATTTAAATAAACAGTAAATCTTTAATTTACATCAAGCGAAACGACCTGTTCACGTCACGGTATAAACGTTTTTTTCGTGGTAGAGCCATGCTGCAGCTATATTAGTAGTATAGTTGTAGCACGAATGGGTCGGCTCGACCGGGGAAGGACCACGCTCTCGATTTGTAATAGAGGATAGATGTAGATGTCTATGGGCCGCAGCAACCACTTACCATCAGGTGGACTGTGTGTTCGTTTGTCACCCTTAACGCTTTATAGGGCATAAGGATCTGGGAATTATATACAAAAAGCGGTTAGGGTATCATTTTAATTATGTTTTTAATAAGCAAGAAATAAAAAATATTTTTTTTGATTATTTATTGTAAAAAAAAATTTGGTGGTAAAAATGTTCCCTTTGCCCGTCAGGCCACTCAAGATTACTGTGTATGAAAATTTGCAAAGCATGGAACCACGCAGAGTGGTACGGCGCAAATTCTGCACATTATTTTCGTTCTCTTGTCATGCGTCTTTGTGGAACATAACTTGCAACGCCTGTAAGATGGTGATTCAACTGGCATATGTGTCCCAACATTTTCAAACCGTTTCTCAAGTGGTACACTACCCACTGCTTTTTGGTAGTTTTCTGACAATACTTTTTTTCTATTCACATAGTTGGCCATGCTGGAAGCTCTTCGTTTACGGCTGGAATATTTTCCAACAAGGCCCCTTCCTAAAGCCACGTGAAATTCAAAGTGTGACAGTTGACTTGCTCTTTTATTTTGTTTATAAAGCAGGTATGCATTGGTAATGCTGGCATCTACCAAAAAATAAAATATTCTTCTCCACCACTTCTTACTTCTTCTGCTAACAGAATACGTACTTTTAACCTGGTCAAATTTGTCTACTCCCCCATTCTCTTTGTATATTCTCTTACTGTCAATGGGCAACTTATAGCTAAATTGGAGCCATCTTTCTGTGTTCGATTTACAGTTGTTCTTTCTATTTGCGGATGAAATACATTGCTCAAGATAAGAACTTCTTTCGTGTCTTGCCACACAACAAATGAAACATTATCTTTTACTCTCCATCTGTACTCTCCCTTATTTAGTTTTTGGCTTGCCTTCTTTCCCTTTTTCTTTTTTATAAAATTAGGAAGTTCTATTCTGTTTCTACGTACAGTTCCAGTCGCGAAAATCCTTTTTTCATACAAATAATTTAGTAAATGATAGTCACAAAAAAAATTATCAAATGTCACATGTTTCTCTTCTTCCACATCCAATAATTTTTCTGTGAGTTTTTTTACTACCTTACTTCCCAATCCACCCTCAGTTCCAGCATCTTGCTTGCCTGTGTAAATATCGAATTCGTAAAGATAGCCCGTGCTACTATCACATTTACACCATACTTTATAGCCGCGTTTTACCGGCTTCATCGGCATGTATTGCTTCAAGGATGATCTACCCTTGAATATTATCATCGATTCATCTATGCTCTGGGATGATGTATTTTTCGCCGCTGCTTGACAAGCCTCATTTATCAAAGTTACTAATGGGCGTACTTTGTATAGTTTATCAAACGTTTCTTCATCTCTCTGGGGCTGTTTAGAATTGTCATTCAAATGTAATGTTCGTAGCAACACCTTGAATCTCTTTATTGTCATTACATTGGCGATTTCATCAACCCTGAACCCCGGATCAGATGACCAATAAAGATTATAGTCTGGTAAAACATGATAACTAATCATTATAAGAATGCCTAAAAACGCTTGTATTTCAGGCTTTGAAGTCGGTGACCATGTCCGAATATTTTGCTGTTGAGCATATAGATTTGTCTGCTCAATTATGAGGTTATAATCTTCGTTAGTAAAAAAACTTATCAAAGTATACTAAAGGCCTGCTGTTGTAAGATATTGGACTACGAGGTGCCAAAGTTATTTTGTCAAATACTGAGTAGTGTAGCCTGTTTCCATTAGACCACATCGCTTTATTCCATGAACCTTCTGATTCAGATTCTTCAGAGCTTTCTTCTATTGTTTCATTTGAAGAAATTCCAGATCTACTACAGCTCGGTTGACCAACAGACATTTCTATTTGTGTATTTTCTGGTATGGATATTTGAAAATGCTCAATTGAAGTGTTTTGAATGTGTGACTCAATATTATCTTTATAAGATTGTGGAAACTCCTGTGTCACTGGTGACAGAATTGTTTCCGGAATGTTTATATTTGTATTACTACTTGAGCTAGATTGCTCACCTTCTGAATTCACCAAAAGATTCTTGAGTTCTTCCACATTATACTCTTTACCATGTTCGTCAGACTCATATTCATCTTCGGAATTCGCTGGATCATAAGGCAAGCTAACTAATAATTCCAGCTCTTTCGCAATCTCATCATCTAGCAACAGTCTCCGTGACATTTTCAGAATTCTGAAATAAATTCATATTTTGTACATAACAATGAGTAGTTATGGCGGACCGGGCAAGGGGAAATATATTCCCACCGATTCTTAGACACATTACTCTAATCACGAATATTGAAATTGAAAAATATGAATGATTTTGAGAAAACTATACACATTTCTAAGAAATAAAAGTAAAATTACACAATAACGCCATGTTTTCTGAAAGATTTATCGAGATTAGTTACAATAGCTCAAAAATTACCTTTTTCGCAATCTCTTGACGCCACCATCGAAAAACGAATAATAATTGTCAGATGTCACTTGTCAAAATTTGTTTCTTTTTTTTTTTGGAGTTTATGGCCTGATATCTAGACCTTTAGGCCAAGTCTTAAGTATTTTTATTCGGTTTATTGTAATTTCTCCACTCCTTCATAGTATACTGCTTCACAATATGTTGATGCGTCACATTGTGCAGTTCTTGGGAGATTTTGGCGGCAACTTGATCCAGCAGACAGCTGATAGTTGGCGATGGTATCTAAAGGTGCCTATGCAAACAAACAGCTTATCTTGAGAATCCATCACCATCAGAGCACTTGTTTCACTGTTTCCACTAATAGTTCACATGCGTAGACACTTAATACACAAAATCGCAACACTTTTACATATCAAAGTACACTTCAAACCATTATTTAAACAATAATACAGGAGCAGCAAACCGCCGCCGGTCAATTTCCCGCCAAAACTCCAAAATTTGTTTCTTGTCATTCATGAATGTTGCCAGGCTAAAAAATAAAGACCTAACACAAATGCATTCAGAAATATCTAAAAAAAAAACTGGTGGTAAAAATATTCCCTTTGCCCTACAAAGGGTTAACTTATAAAAAAAGCTCACTATTCCGAGCACAATTTTAAATTGGGAAACTGTTGAATCGTTACAATGTGCTACGGCCCTTAGTATGGTTTTAGCAGTGCATAGTAACAATGTAGCGGTTTTGAGATCAGACACAGCCCGTGACCCTCTAGCATAACTTATTTTCTTATTTACTGGTCCGTGAAAGTCAACTGCTAGACATGGGTCTCTGGTGCTGTAGAGGTGAGAGGTTTTACATACCTTAATAACCACGCTTAGCAGGTAGATTGGCGATCGCAGTACCTGGCGCCTCGCACATTAGACGTTGATTCCCGTTGCCGGTCTATTAGAACAAGAACTACAGCTATTGGAAACCATGAGCTCTTTCTGGAATTTCCTACACCTAAATCACCTGTAAGAACACCCACAGTACGAAATAGTCACCCTATTTCGTTCTGCTCCGCTCTTACGCCATCATTGCCAAGTAGCAATACTTAAAGATGAATAATAAATAGATCTTTCCAAAAAAAATTAAAGATATTCATATAACGACACGTATATACGATATGTAATAGCGGGATCAGATCATTTTTCATAATAAAGTATGATATATAGGAAGTAATGAAGTTTAATTAATTAATACATTTCATTATTTTTCACATTATTCTCAGCGTTATTTTTGAATAAATTTGCATTTGAATTTGTATCTAATAGTTTTTCTTCATTATTATAGAAAAGAATACCTCAGGTAGCATTTTTCGACGTCTAAAAACAGAACGGTATATATAATCCGGCGCCGGCGCGTGAGAACTCGGCAACAGCGAACCGTGACAATCCCAGTTCAGCGACACGCCTGTCGAACTAATCAATTCGCGTCCAAATGACTCGATAATCGACGATCACGTTACTAGTATATTATAAAGGCACTAAACCGAAATCATAATTCTATTTTAACTTTTCTCCATCGTGAAGAAATTTGGGAGGCGCTGCAGTCCCTTCAGCGATGCCAAGTCGGTATATCGAAGTGCTGAAGTGTTTGTACAGTAGGGCTACAATGGCTATCCGAGTACAGAATTAGAGTACGAAACCTATCCAACTGCAGAGAAGTGTAATACAGGTTGACGTAATAACCCTGAAAGTCTTCACCGCTGCATTGGAAGACGTATTCAAGCTACTGGACTGGAAAGGATGCAGTATTAACGTCAATGGCGAGTACATCACTCAACTTCGATTTGACGACGATATTGTCCTTATGGCACAATCGCTGGATTACCTCAGCACTATGCTCAATGATCACAATAATGTCTCCCAACGGATAGATCTTAAGATGATCATGGACAAAACAAAAGTCATGTTTAACGCCCATGTCACACCTATGCCGGTAGTTGTTAGGAGCACGAAACTCGAAGTTGTTGACAAGTATTTTTACCTGGGACAAATAGTATGATTAGGTAAGTCCAACTTCGGCCGAGAGGTCAATCGACGGATTCAACTCGGCTGGGCAGCGTTTGGGAGATTACGACACATCTTCTTGTCAAGCATATCTCAAAAGTGCAAAACCAGATTGTACAACCAGTGCATGTTGCAAGTGATGAACTATGGATCTAAGACGTGAGCCTTCAATGCTGGCCGTATGAGGAAGCTCAAAGTCGCTCAGCGAGCTATGGAGAGGGCTATGCTCGGGGTTTCTCTGTGTGATACATTTAATAACTATGATATCCGCAGTAGAACCAGAGTAACCAACATAGCCCAACGGATTAGTAAACTGAAGTAGCAATGGGCCGGCCATATAGCTCGAAGAACCGACAACGGATTGGGAAGAAAGGTTTTAGAATGGCAGGCTCTTACCGGCAGGCGAAGTGTAGGGCGTCCCCCCACTAGATGGAGTGACGATCTGGTAAGACATGCAGGAAGTCATTGGATGCAGGTGGCTCGGGATTGTGCTTTGTGGCATTCCTTGGGGAAGGCCTATGTTCAGCAGTAGACTTATGAAGGGCTATAATGATGGTGATGATGATGAATCGTGAAGAAAGCTTTGAACGTTTAGAAGTTTTTGTTTTTATAAAAAATATGTTCAATGCATATAGAAACTATACGATTAATATACTATAACAATAACAAGAGATGAAAATAAGTAATTGAAAAAATTGGGTAACTGACATCTACTATCCTTCCATTAATGTAGTTCAATTAACAGTTTCGTGGGAGTTTCCCAATAAAAGTTTTACAATACAAGAAGAACTTTACTTAGCACTTTGATTCTCATGCTCTTAACTAAGTTAACACGTAAAATGAATTACGTGAACGTAAAAGTGAAGCTGAGATATGAAGTATTACTCAGTGGGTTTTCGGTGTGGCGCCTGCGAGAGGCGGCGTCGACCGCTCACCTGCCCCGCCGCGGTAGTGTTTTAACAGCAGTTAACTGAGGGTTAAGGTGATTAAAAGCACCGGAGCGCGTGCCCCCAGGCACTCGCTGCCTGCGCGTATATCACATTCCAATTTAAATTGGTTTTGTAAGGCCGGTTTATGTGCCGAAATAAGCTGCGCCGTGAACCACACAACAGCTTAGACACCCGTTACCAAGACACTATAAAATGTATAATAGAGTTGAAATTAAAAATCAGCGCCAGTTTGACGAACGACGTTACTTGGGATATAGAAGGTGAGTATACGGTCGTTAGTAACGCCACCCGGCGCCTTCTCTCCGGAATTTACGATTGCTAATTGAAGAGTGCGTTCGAGCGGTGGCTCGCGGCTCGCGGTCAAGCGACTTGCGCCGACCGCACGCGATTCAAGTCGTTTAAACGGATCGGTGCGTTGCCGAAACGATGCCGCGTAATTTCTGCATCTCGCCGCAGGGCATGGTCAAATTACAACACTCGCCGCCGGCATAATTGGGCCCGTTCGAAGCTGAACCCGCGTGTGGGAACACCGACCGATTTATTAAGATTTAATCGCACCCAATTAAAATACGCGCGATCACTAGAAACGAAAAGCTTATGCAAATTCCTTGGTTGCTCGCCGACAAAGTGAACGCGGAGCGTCCGTTGTGAAAACTGTTCAGACACCTTCGCATTACACAACCGAAGAACAATCGCTAATGTTATTAATGTGACGTAATAAACGTATCGTGTGGGGTTCATCAGGGCCAATGTGGCACCTATAGCCGAATCTCGTAGAGGCAATGTCCACGACAGCGAAGGACCTCCCCGACGCGCATACATTACCGCAGCACGCATTGTCGTCGTCCCGCCCGCGCTCCCACACGGGGCCACACGCGTTCCCTAACGCTCACCACAACCAATTGGAAATGAGTTTAATTATTCCCGCTACGAAACTAACACTCGTATTTACAATCAATTAATAATTTATGAGATTTTTATTACGGAGCGATCCTAATAAAAGTGAAATGTTATCTTTTATCTGTTTGTTTTTGATTGAAGCCTTCAAAGAATAATCTTTCACACGAGAAAATAAAACACCCATTTAAAA